GTTCTGAGCAAGGACCAGGGATTTTAACAATAAAAGAAATCATCAAAAATGTTTGTTTTGATGCACAAAAAATATTTTATGATTTGTAAAAATTGTTTTGACTTTTTGAGAACCGAGACTTGAATTTATTGTCGGTTTTGATCACAAAAGACCGACTCGACTAAGTCTTCAATTCTTGATCTTGTCCTTGAGTCTTTTAGGTCTTGTTCCAAGCCATTCTTCACGCCTTGAGTTATTCAACGAAACTTTTTATATCCACGGCGGTTTGGCAATTATCAAAACCTGTCAGAAATGAACACGACTTTAGTTTATCGTACAAAGTGTGTTCCAACATATGTGTGCATCCATAAGGTGTCCCTTGAATCCCCGCACCGATGAGGCTAGTGACCGGATTGTGGTTCTCCTCCGCAGTGGAATTAGTGTAATGGATTCGAAGTCCAGTGCTGCTCTTTTCCTTCCAACATTTCCTGCCATTCGACTACTTACGTCATTTAAGGCACCTACTTGTAGTTGTACCTTAGCATTTCTCCACAGGGAACTAATAGTCTGCCTACTAACGTTGAACTCAGCAGCAACACTTTGCACAGCACCCCTCTGAGCAGTTTGTGTGCCCATTAAATTTGTTTGTGCACATAGTAACAACTTGTCAATTATTCCTTGTCTCTCTAAATTTGTTAGCCTTTTTTTCCTTTGAGCCGGTGTGTTTTTGAATTGTGGGTGCAGTGTTTGTGTAGGAATTGATGGCTCCATTCCTGAAATTGATATGGCATCAAAGGCAACTTTGGATAAAGGAAAAAAAGGCTCTTTCTCCCCCTAAGAAGAGAAAGAATGAAGAAAAAAATGTTTCTCACATGGCTGGAAGAGAAAAGCAAAGAAAGGAAGATAATGGCAGCAAAGAAGGAACTCTGGATAACCAAGAAGAGAAAAGCAAAGAAGGAAATATGTAGGAAATTTCTAAAAAAGGAAAGGCAGTATTTATAGCCTAGGAAGTTTTATGTTTGGGTGGGAAATTTTGACTTAATGGAGGGAAAACCCACCTTTTTTTTTGGCTAATTTGGGCAATGAAATTAACGTGTAATTTGAAATGTGGTGTAGTTGATGTGGACATGTACTTTAAGAAACATCTACTTTTTGATTTGTAATCATTATCTATCAAATCACTACTTTTCCATTCAAGTTTGGCTTTAATTACTCCCTCCGTCCCAAATTATTTGTCACATTTGCTTTTTCAACAGTCGCGGGAACTTTTGTTTATTTCTACGTTTTCATTGGTTATTTGATAAAATAAAATATTTTCTTGACACCTCTTATTTCGAAAAAGTTTTCATGTAGTTCTTGATATGTAATTTTTATTTTTTATTTTCTTTACCAATATGAAAATAAAATGAATTGAAAAAACTTGACATTTTGTCTCGGTAATAGAAATGTGATAAATAATTTAGGACGGAGAGAGTACTTAATACATTCCGTATAAATTATTGAAAGTGTAAAGGGAAACTTTGGAAAGTCAAGGGTTTTTTGCTTTTCTTAATTTGCATGCCCGGTCAAAACGTAAAGTTAAATATTGGACGGAGGGAGTATTGAATTAAGCATGTAGAAATGTTTTTATTACATTGATTTATTTGTAATTATGTATTCTAAAAATAGATCTGACAAACAAGTGAGTATCAATTCACTCAAAAATCACAAAATACAAATGTCAAATTAAATATTCCCTCCTTTTCTTTAAACACTTCCTATTTTGACTTTGAGCCAAAATAAAGAAAGTGTAATTTTGGTTGACATTCCAATTTTGTCCCTGATTTGATGGGTAAAAGTAAGATGTGATAGTTTGGTTATTAGTGAAAAAAATATGATGTGATAAGTAGGGTATGAAAATGTAGGGGGAAAAGTGGTTTTTTTAATAGAAAGTGAAAGTGTTTTAGGGAATTGGAAAAAAATGAAAGAGGAAGGGTTTTATAGAACGGAGCGAGCACAAAGTATGAGATGCTTTTGCTTTCAGCCAATTCCAAGTGTTTTCCTAGTTGGCCTGGTTGACATGCCAAAACAAAGTCTTTTTTCATCCGTCCCAAAAAAAACTTCTCATTTCTATTAAAAAGTCATTTTTACCCCTTACTTTTTCATACCCTACCTATCACATCATACCTTTTTACTAATAATTTATCCATCAAATGATACTTTTACCCATCACATCAAAGGACATTTTTGGAAATTCAATACCAAAATACACTCCTCTTGAATCTCTCTCCAAAACCAAAACTCCCATATTTTCCGGGACAGAGCTGAGGGAGTATCATACATAGATGAAGTGATTAAAATATATGTCTCCTTATACACTCTCTGATCTAAAACACAAATACTCAAAGTGATTAGAACAATGCAAATCACTCCTTTTCTCCTTGACCCCCTCTCTGGGGTTTCTTAAGTTCATGACCCTTAGATTTGAGCACATTGACCTTGTAAAGGGCATAACCCTCAAAACAACAAACCCCTACCAAAACCAGAAAGGCAATAACCAGAATGAAACATGCATCTTTTCCTGCCTTCCCAATAGTGACTACTAATCCCGCCTTACAAGAATCACAGGAGTAGCAAAGCTGGTTTGGGTCATTGTTCCATTTAACGCAGTCAGGGTCTGCCCCGGGAGCCACTGGGGCTATCCAATTTGTTGCATTTTGGATTGTAAACTCGCATGGCGTTGGTGGCTTGCAGCATCCTGACTGCACTTTAGAAATTCAAGTGTAATTATATATTGACAATGGAAAATATTATTGTACTAAAATGTACTTTTATGTAAGTATGAGATCTCAGGCTGAGAGTAAAATGGATTTGGTAAAACTAAATAATACTCCGTAAGTTAAATACGGAATATAAAAATTTGAGGTGGTATTGATTCAAACTCCACTCGGACTATGCGTCTGTTTGGGAAAAGCGTTAGCGTTTTGAAAAGGCTATCTACGGGCAGCGTTTAGCGTTAGCGTTTTCAAAGTAATCTCCACCGTTAAAAATTTATCCACAATGCTAACACTAATCTCTAACGCTATTTTCAAACAGACCCTATAACTCCTTGTGTTTCATTAAGTTGAGAATAAACTTGATTTGGGTAAAAATATGTTAAATATAGAGTTTAAAAATTACTACTTTTTTCCCTGTGTATTTGTCTATTTTTGACTTTTCCCAATTAACCATTTTTAACATTTGTTAAATAAAATACATATTGTATATTAGTTAAATGAAATAATATTTTGAAAATATTTTACAAAATGAATTTAATAAATTTAGTTTGGTATCAATATCTAATACTACCTTTGTCCCAAAGCATTTTTCCAGTTTTGACTTTTTTTAGTGAACTGTTTTCAACCTTTGATTTATAACTAAATAAAATATATATTGTATATTAATTAGATAAAATAATATTTGAAAAATATTTTATATACTAAATCTAATAAAACTATTTTCGTATCAATATCTAATATCATTTTTATTTAATTCGAGGTCAAAATTTCCCAAATTATGACCGAAAAAAATCAAAAGTGGACAAATACTCAAGAACGGATGGAGTATCACATTTATTAAATTTGTGATCAACATTTAACAATTTTGACCAAAAACGGTTAAAAAATTGATAAAAACTCAGCCACGGAAAGAGTAAGGGGCTATTTGTTTCAGCCTCTTAATGGTTCAGATGTCTGAATGGTTCAGCACTTAATGGTTCAGACTGTTTGTTTCAGCCTCTTAATGGTTTAGATGTCTGAATGGTTAAGAGATTTGCCTCTGAATGGTTAAGTATTATATAGAGTCTGAATGGTTAAGACCTCTTATCTGAATTGATCAGACATTTGCCTCTGAATAGTTAAGCAATATACTAGCTCTTAATGGTTCATACCTCTTACTGGTTCAGCACTTAATGGTTCAGACTTCTTACGGGTTCAGCACTTACCTATTCAGAAGTTGCCAAACAGCCCTAATTGGAGTAAGATCCATTTCAAAATATTACAGTTTTAATTAAAAATGCAAGGGGTAGAATTTAGATTTTCTTAGGGAGTATCCTACAAGAAAAGTTCTATTATGGACATAAGTTCACATAACACATAAGGTTCACAAGATCCACATTGACTTTCTCAAACATAATTTTATTTATTTATTCATTTGTATAATTAAATTATTATTTTAAAATTATTTAAAAATTATTTTATTCATTTAAGAAAATGCACAAATGAAAAATTTGTATAATTTGTGTCCAAATTCTTTGTGAGTAAATAGCCACAATACCACTCTTTCAAAAATCTTTCATAAGACCCAGTACTACTCTATTGTACATTGAGATCCAATTCGAATGGACCTAAAACACTAATTATATACTCTCAGATAAATAAAATATTCGTTATTTAATAGGGGAAAAAAACTAAAGTAGGACTAAAACATTAAAAATATACTCCCTCCGTCCCTAAATAAAGTTTCATTTTTGACTTTTTGAGGATTGAAGGGAGGGATATTTTGGTGTTGACTTTCCAAAAATACCCTTGATGTGATGTGTAAAAGTAAGATGTGATAGGTAGATTATTAGTAAAAAGGTATGATGTGATAGGTAGGGTATGAAGAAGTAAGGGGTAAAAGGGGTTTTTTAAGGGAAAAGAGAAGTTTATTTAGGGACAAAGAAAAAACGAAAGAAGAACTTTATTTAGGGACGGAGGGAGTATTAAAATAGAACTTCCATGTTTTTAATCCGAAATAAGACTTAAAATGCATTTATATTATTCAATATGGCCATGTACACCTTCAAAAATTATAGTAATATGCACATCTATAGTGTCAAATTACCACAGTGCGAAGTCTTATTTCGAAAAAAGAAATATGAAGGTGCTATTTTGATATTTTTCTCTATGTTTTAATTTTATTTAAGGTGATTTCTATAAATTCTTTGTGAGTCCTCACATACTTGAGAAAATAGCCACATGCAATATCACTCCTTTTCGAATGGGCATAAAACACTAACTGTATACTCCCGGATAAATAAAAGAATAATGCTTGGTTCACAAATAAAATATTCATTATTTAATACTCTCACCGTCTTTTAAGTTTTGTTTTTTAAGGGATTTAAGAGACATATATTTTGGTGTTAAATTTCTAAAAATATCCTTGAATGAGATGACTAAAAGTAAAATTTGATGGATAGATTATTAATCAATGTATGTGATGTGATAGGTAAGGGTAACAGTGACTTTTTTTATAGAAATGACAAAAAGTTTTTGAGACGGATGAAAAAAAAAGAAGAAAGGTTTTCAGGCATGAAGGGGGTACAATATTTACTCGGTCTATGCTGAATTTTCTCATAAACTATTTATATGATCAAACTTTATTCTATTTATTTTATAATGTAATATAGTCATAGTCTTCTAAAACTTGTTGTCTAATTTTTTAAATATTTAAATTTTATTTTTAAATTTTACACAAACAATCAAATGAGCTGAATTGAAAATAAAATCAGTTTAGTCACGTAACGCGTAATGAGAAGGACCAACTACGACGGAGGGAGTATATGATATCAAACTAAAAATTGCCAAAGAACTGATGTCATCAAGCAGCATAACTGTAACTCTCAAACGAGAGGTCATTTGTTTGAAGCCCAGTGCGTTTACCGTTATTTTAAAAAGAAATGAGTAGTTGTAGAGTATACAAAATTTTCTTAGTTTTGGTTACTTAATTTTTGATATGATTTTAGAATTTTGTTGATAAAGAGATCACGAGAGTACAAAACTCATCGCTATCCAATTTTTTTTTTTTAAAAATAATTTTTCACAAGGTTCGAATAAAAATAAATATCATCTACTCATGAGGAGGCTTTTGGTTAATTGGTTCCTTATCAATTACTCCCTCCGTCCCATAAAGTGTTACCCATTTTGACTAAAGTTAAAATTAAGGGAGGGATAATTTTGTGTTAACTTTCCAAAAATACCATTGATGTGATGGGTAAAAGTAGGATGTGATGTGTAGATTATTAGAAAAAAAAGTATGATGTGATAGGTAGGGTTTGAAAAAGTAAGGGGTAAAAATGGTTTTTTAGTAGAAATGGGTAAGGGTTTGTGGGACACAATTTTTTTGAAACGTGTAAATCTTTTTGGGACGGAGGGAGTATTTTTTTTTAAAAAAAAAAGAAGAAAAATACGGTAGTACCTCAAAGGCTGTAAGATTTGTTTTGAAGAAATCTTCAGGCCCAGAATAAGCCTGCAGATCCAACTGAGCACACTTTGGAACACTGCTGGCGAGACAAGTTGCGATAGCATCACCCCAGTGATCAAGCTTCCCACGGAGCCAGCCCGGGGCCCCATCGTCCGGGTCGAGCCGATACTCCATGTAACTCCGGTTCACGGCCAGAGCCCCCGGTTCCTTAATGCTGGAGATTTTGTACAAGAAAAGGACAAAGTATGCGAGATATAGGATGATGGCAAGCATGGCTGCGAAGTAGACAACAAGAAGAGGAGGAAAACACTTGGAATTGGCCGCCACGAGGCCGATGAAACCAACGAGTAGCAATAGGATTCCCAAGGTGTGGGGTTTTGAGAACTGGGGAATGTGGACGCAGGGGGAGTAGTCGTCGAGATCGCTTTCTAGCGAACTGCCTATGAGGAAGAAGATGGCGAGGGCCACTGCGGCTACAATGAGGAACGGTACGAANGGGGGGGGGGGGGGATTGGTTTTATGGCTTTGGTTAGGAAGATGTGTGTACAAGACAAGGAGTTATGTTTATGCACAATTCCGTGCTTTTTTGTAGCTTGGCACCTCATTTTTTTCAAACATTTCTATAGTTTTATTTTGTCTTTTATCATTAGTGAGAGCACGGTTCTTTTGACATTGGCTGGTGTCCATAGTATATGTTCCATAGTATACTTTACACAATTTTTTTGTCCCGCCTTTATGACTTTTTTTTAATGTTGTTAACCCTACTTCAAAGTAGTATCTCCCCATACTATTTTCAATCTAATAACTCTACTTCAAAGTAGTATCTCCACATACTATTTTCAATCTAATGACGCACAAAGAGCAAATGCTTCTACCTCTGTTGACGCTCAAATATGATGAATTTCCACATGAATCCTAGAAAGTAAATTTCTTATCACTTAAGCCTTGGGAGAAGTTTCCGGCTTTAATTTTACGACTTATTTCAAGCATTTTCCCATCACTTTTAGAAGGTGTTATGATTATGAGAGGACTTATGGAGTCCTTAGCTTCCACTTTTAAGTCCTTAGCAGGTGTAATGTATTCAAATTTAGATTCCACTTTGCAAAATAGAATGTCGCGGAATATTAGACTATCCCCAATGCATGAAAAGATCGAGGAGTTTTAATACAATATTTTAATTATTTTATCATCAAGAACACAATCTATAACCTACAATGAAAGATGATGTTTGGAATTCTCTTTGAATATTTTATTTTAAGAATAGTAGATGTATTAGAAAATAGATTGTTAGAATATAAATAACTTCTCTTGGACCACAACCACAAGCTTCAGCTGTTGGTTGAGTTGGTTCCTTGACATGGTATCGTAGCCTCGTTGACTAAAAGGTCACGGGTTCGAAACTCAGCGCCACCCAGTTTAAAAAAATAAGGTTTCACGTGCAAGGTTCAAAAAAGACTATACCTGCACGTAAGGGGGCGTGTTAGAATATAAATAACTGTTCTTGGGCACTACCCCAAGCTTGAGCAATTGGTTGAGTCCGTTCCTTGACATAGATTATTATTATTATTATTTATTATCTTCTTTATTATACTTTACACGATTTTGTTGTCCGGCCTTTACGACTTATTTCAAGTATTTGCGCGTCACTTTTAGCAGGTGTTATGATTATGGGAAGACTTGACTAAATTTTTTTTTGTTTTATTGTACTACCTCTGTCCCATTTTATAACGCCTATTTCGGTTTACGATGTTTGACTGAAATTATTTTCAAACCATTTTATATGACAAATGGTATATAATTAAAAAATAAAAATTACATATTAAAAAACTACATCAAAAGATCTACAAAACTAGTAGTGACAATAATATTTTATTTTATCAAATTGTTAACGAAAATAGAGAAAGAAAGTGAATAAAGTTTGACCATGTGAATAGTGAACATGCATTATATTTTGGGACGGAGGGAGTATAAGTGCATGGGTGACCTGGAGGGTGTGCAAATTGGCCAACCGCACAGGGCCCCTAAAATTTTAGGGCCCCATATTTTTAAATTTATTAATAATTTTAAAGGAAACGTATTCTAAAAAAATAAAATAGGGCCCAAAATGTAAATTTAGGATCGGGCCAATTTTATTTTTTCATTTTTCGGGGCCGGCCCTATATAAGTGTATAACTCCTAAATTGGAAACTTAAAATCTAAAAGCAAACTTAAATTAGAAAAATTCATTATGGAAATATGAAATTGCAACAAGGGTTGCAATGAAAATATCGTTGCAATACACATCCAACGGAATTATTCAAAATAACTATAGAAACTGTTGTTGCAATTTTGTCTAGTTCTTGTAGTTTATATTTCATAATAAGTCATTTAGAAAACTTATTCCATAATAAGTCTTTTATGCACTATACGAGAAAAAACTGTTCTCTTCTTAGTCCTCTACAAATGACTTATTATAAAATATTTTCAAGTATACTTTCTCCGTTCCTTTTTGTTTTGTATTTTATAAAATTCAAAAAAGAGATATTTTTGTATTGATTTTTTCAAATTAATCATTATGCAAGGTCTAAAAGTAAGATATAATGAGTAGATTATGAGTAAATATATAAATATGTTGGATAGATAGAAAAATACGTACGAGGGACAAAAATAGTTTTTTAATATAAAGAAAAAAGAGATTGTGAGATAGAGAAGAAAAAGGAGAAATAGTTGAGTAGAAGATAACGAAAAAATAATTTGGAATATGGACTTTATTCAGAAACCTTCCTATTAAAAATATCACTATACAAAATTAACTCTCGAAGTAATAAATTCCTCAAATCATGTCGGAGTTATTTCAGACTCTTTCCCAAGTCTCTAGAGTATCTTTTTCCTCTTTTCACTATTCTTGTATAATAGTTCTTCTGTCCCCAAATTAATTACAAATAAGAGTTTACGAGGAGAAATGTCTCACTTTTTGAAATCATTTTATTTACAAATTGATATATTGATAAGAAATAAAAATTACATATTTCAAAACTACGTCAAAAACTCTACAAAACAAAGGTGACAAGAATATTTTATTTTGTCAAATATTTAATGAAATCGCCTAAACAAACAAAAGTTATCAAGAGGAAAGAAAAAAATTGTAATCAAATTGGAGGCGAAAGGAGTATATCAAAGTAATACTTCACTCCCTCCTAAAATTAATTTTTTCTTTTGACTTTCGTGGTTAAAGTTTTTTAAATTTGACAACATATTACGAAAAAAATATATTAAATTTTTATGTATATTTAATATCAAAAGATTCATTTTGAAACATAGCTTTGAAATATTTTATTTTTGTAATATATATTTATTCATAAATATAGATATTAATGATCAAAGTGTTATATTGGAGACTGTAAAAATTAATGATAAGTAATTTTAGACCGGATGGAATAAAAGAAGTGCGGAGCACGACATTTAGGCCTCGTTTGGTACATGAAATTCAAAGTATGGAATTGGAATTGAGGACTTCAATTCCAATTCTGGTGTTTGGTAACAAAAAACTTATGTGGATTTGGAATAGATAGTACAAAAAATGAATTGGAATTGCTGAATTCAATTCTATGAAATTGAATCTCATGGAATTTCAATTCCAATTCAATTCTAGTTCCTTCAATTATATATACCAAACGGACTCTTATAGACAGGAGAAGTAAGAAAAATCCAATTCATTTCGAATATATGCATTTCCGAATTTACATATGCAACTCTTTTAAGTAATTAACTTTATACTATCAGAAGCAACAAAATTGTGTGTGGGGATGGGGGAAGAATGGAAGATGATATAAGGAAGTGTTTGAAATAAGACTAAATTAAAGTATGAAAACAACAAAATTTTTTTTAAAAAAAGAAAAACTACCTAGCTATATATATGAGTAACTTGCATGTATTGGCTTTTGGGCCAAATTAAACCTGACTAAAACCACTAATAATGTTTTCTTCTGTGGGTTTTCTCTTTTTGCGTTCTCCAAATGTTGTGCAACTCTTGGTGGCATTATGGCCCCTTATAATTTTAGCCCTCACGTGTAGAGGCAATCTTAATGTAAACCTATCCTCATCTTCCCTAATCTTAACTATTGAATGCCCTGTTGAATGTGACCTTGGGTACTTCTCTTCCCCACTCTTCTCATCAGCATTATTATCTGCATTTTCATGATTTAACGTTACAACGTGCTTCGTTAGTGAAATATTTTCACGTTGATCACTTCTATTCTCAACACCGACTCTTTTAGCCTCGTCTTCTTCTGCTTCCACTCCTTCATTATTTCCTACGTCCCCTTCGCGATCATGTATATCGATAATGCTATGCATGTCACACGCCATGCGCTCGTCTTCTTGGAAATTCTCATCTGGACCGTTCCCAAGAGACAGTGCTGGCGAGTACGGTGTGTACTTTACTGGAGAGTCGAGGGCCTGGCGACAAACAGGGCAAGTCTTGTGGGATTCCATCCACAGATCAATGCACTCTTGGTGGAACACGTGGTTGCACGAGGTGAGGAGACGCAAAACGCTCTCGTCCTCAAACTCGACCAGACAAATCGCGCATTCCAACCCGTACTTCTCCTTCCGGTAATCCTTCACGCTCGAGTAGCTGAACGTCGGGAAGGACTCGACAATCTTCGGGTCGATCCCGGGCATGTCTCCGTGACCTTCTGGACCGACCGGAGATCCGGCCTGGACCCGGTTGTGCCACAAGCTCTGGATGCAATACTTACAAAAGATCACAAAGAAAATACCCAAGAAAAAGAAGACAAGGAGGAAAGCTATTAGGAGGAGAGTGACCGGCGGCGGAGATACATATTGTGAAGGTGGCGGAGCGGCCTTCATAGACATTGGCCGGAAAAGAAAAAGCCAATTGGGGTTGAACCGACGATCTTTCCTTCGCCGGAGATGGGAGAATATCTAATTTAATATGGGAATCAAATGAATGAAAATGTGCGCAATTAAAACACGTTATATATTTTTACATGTGAAATCCTAAAGTTTATGATGAGTGAGAGTGTTTCATGAGAACGAGTGACGCAAACTCAAAAGAAAGAGAGGCATGGCTAACTTTGCAAGCATAACAAAGTAATGTGGTTGAGTCAGTTTCTTGGTGTGTGGCCAAGAGAAAAACATGGCAGGTTGCATTATATTAATGGCCTCAACGCCTTTCTTTCCTTTGATTAGTGTTCAAAAAAAGCTTTTTTTTGGAGAGTACAAGTACATTAGTGTGCAGGGTAAGTTTTTTTATTATGTGGTCTGAGTTACTATTTTTCTAATTAATTGATCATTGACCTATAAAATATCCTACGTATTTAATTGATAATTATTTGATGGACGTAATCATCTTTACGACCTAATTAGGGTTTCCCCTTGGGTGTACATACAGTGGCGGACCTAGGGGGGTCCGGTGGTGTCAGCCGACACCACTGAAATTTTTTTAAAACAGTATTTGGTATTGACAACAATTTTTTATATAATTAATAATAATAATAATACTTTTTACCCCATAATTGTGTTATTTTGAATCATTTGAATGTTCGAGGAAAATTTATTATTCTGTATATTTTTGTTGTTTCTTATTGTGTTTAAAAAACATGGTTATCTACCACTATAATGTGTATTAACTTCAATATTTTCTAATGCTATCATTTTTTATCATTTTTATAATTAATAATAATGTCATATAATAATGTTATTTAAATTATTTATTACGGAGTATTTCTTATTGTGTTTGTAAAAGAAATCTGGAGACGCTACCTCTGAACTCTCGTCACATGCCCACACAATCTGCCTAAGAAGTTCTGGCATCTCTACTCTAGACACGGCTCATTTGAGTGTGGTCTTCCACTGTGTATATTAGGTATAGTAGTGATTATCACACCAATCATACGCCTCCCTCTGCCTATCTATTCTTGTAAGTCTAATCCTCACCTTACTAAAAGAAAAATGTCTTATAGTGTGTGTACAAACCGTAGTTAAGGTAAAGAATTGATACGGTATCGTATCGGGATAAAGAAGGATTACACCTTCGAGCTATGAAATTGGGGAAAAAGAAGAGAAGAGAGAATCGCACGACACTTTGTTCGGCGGAATAGAAGAACGAGAGAGGAGGAAGAGACTAGGGTTTAGGAAAAATGATTTCTTTATTGATTGAATAATAAACTCATGCATAATGGCTACATATATAGATGGTTGATCTAAAGAGTCCTAGCCATAAAAGGTAACTAAATAAATTAAAATACTAAATAATAACCTAATATAATGATACTTCCTAATAATAATATAATTATCTAACCATAAATAATGATAATAGTAATATAATAATGGTAAATAACTAAATATAGTCATGTATCACTCTTCCCGCCTCGAAAACCAACTTGTCCTCAAGTTGGAAATCAAATAAAGAACGGGAAAAAATACACCGTTCATCGTCCATCCTCCGGGGTCAAACACCTTGATCCTTGGAGCACCAAAAGAACGAGTCACGCCGAAAACATTCCCAGTGTCAAGTAAACAGTTCCAGGCAACCATGAGTAGGAATATTATGCAATCATGTGCAACATCCTTAGAATTATAAAGGACAACAATGTCACTTTCTGACGTCCCAAAAGTTTTCGTGCATCCATAAAAAATGACACCATCACTTGAATATTTTGCTTGGACAGAGTGGTCTCGTTGATCGTCACCAGAAACATCAACAGCAACATCAACAACGGTGATAGGAACAACATCTATGGGATCAAGAATAAGATTATCATCGGGAACACCAACAGGATCAATAAAAATTTCCTTTTCAAATTCCTGGTCTTGTAAAGTTGTGTTATGCCCAGGTACTGTATGGGCCGGATCTCGTGGAGTGCCGATGAGTTTCCTTATAGAGCGCATCATGGTTGTTTTGAAAATGTATAACTCTATAGGAATCAGGCTCGGCATAATTGGGAGGCCACGAACTAAATTCTGTATTGAGCAAAAGGTCTCTACGGCGAACACATTTACTTCGGAATCAAATTTTGGCTAACCTTCAATTTGACGGAATGCCTGAAGTTGCTTTATAATTTCATCCACGGAATCTTCAACTGCACACACGACTTCATAAAATTCAATTTGTTCTCGTAGAACTTTCTCGAGTAAACCAAGAACTTTGTCCAACAAAGAATCCATTGCCAAAAGAAACACCACCATACAAAAATTGAATTGAATTTTGTGGCCGATCTTTTTTTTGTATAGAAGTGATAAAGCAATGCAAATTGGAAATTGAAAACGCAAATCTTCTCTGCGTGGGCCGAAGCAACCAAATTGAGGCTATGATCACCAAAATATATTTTTCTTTGCCAAGCAATTATGCGCAAGAAAAAAAACCTGATGGAGTTCTTCACAACTCAAATAACCTTGCAACAGTCCTTTGAATTGCGGCACGACTAAGAGAAAAGAGCCCGACGACGGCAAGTTTGATGGCAGTGACTAATCTTTTACTCTTTTTTGGGTGAGTTCAAGAATGAGCGCACCAATTGATACGTATCGTATCGGGATAAAGAAGGATTACACCTTTGAGCTATGAAATTGGGGAAAAAGAAGAGAAGAGAGAATCGCTCGACACTTTGTTCGGCGTAATAGAAGAACGAGAGAGGAGGAAGAGATTATGGTTTAGGAAAAAATGAATTTTTTATTGATTGAATAATAAACTCATGCATAATAGCTACATATATAGATGGTTGATCTAAAGAGTCTTAGCCATAAAAGGTAACTAAATAAATTAAAATGCTAATTAATAACCTAATATAATAATACTTCCTAATAATAATATAATTATCTAACCATAAATAATGATAATAGTAATTTAATAGTAATGGTAAATAACTAAATATAGTCCTGTATCAACTCTCATGTATTCAATTATTTCTTGAATAATACAAATATTCCATTAGTTAATACTTAACGATTATGTTGAAGCTGCCTCGTAGTTTGGGTTTTGAAAAAGTCAGAAGTTTATGAAAAAATTTAATTTTTAAACTTCTTAGTAAAAAAATTTACAAAGATCTTCAAAACTACTAGTATAAAATTGGGTTAGCTACAATGTAAAAACATACTCCTCAATGCTTAATTCAAGAAGTTAACCATTGGGTGTATATGTGTGTGTATGAAATTGATATACTCCGGGGTACTATAGCATTTCATATGTTGGTGATGCAATATAGAAATGTTGTCCCAATTTTACTTATTCAGTCTTTGTTCATTTTTATTTCCTTCTTTTAAATTAAATTTATCCTTTAGGTGTAGAAGTTAGTTACAAGTCAATAATAAATGAATTCATTATCTTAATTCTATGTGTTATCACCAATTAATTTCGTTTGAAGACACCATTACTTCAATTGACGCTAGAGTTTATAACCCATGAGCAAAGAAAGTCTAGTGGGCTAGTCACCCATGAACATAAGACAAAGCAAAGAAGGAAATTGAGGCAAAGTAAAATTCATGAAAGAGCCCACATAAAAAATAAGTGAAACTTGTATGGAATAAAACTAAAATATAAGTCATTTCTCAATGTAGGACTTAAATTTTTTCATTCACTAAATAAGACTTAATAATGTCTAGTGAGAAAAATAATGTACAAGTGATATTGAATATTTAGTTGAATAATGACTAATAAATAATGATCAATGTTCCTACATTAGGAAATAAAAAAATATGATCATATATTGAGAAAGTCATTATGTTTTAATTTTATTTAGGTAAATTACCCAAGAAATAAAGCAAGAAGTGTTGCCTTGCTAAGCCAAATAATATCAATAATAGACTAACGTTTCCAGCACGTTGAGGTCGTAGTCTCCATTAATCCAGTTCTGCCTCATTACCACACGTGCCGTTATTGCATCCCTAATGTTTACACTAGTCTCCATCGGGTGAATTTCACAATCCAACTCTCCTTCTTGTGGTAGAAAACACACTACAAATAAGAAAATAAATATCCAAAATGAATATAAGACTTTGTTTCGTATACAAAATTCAAACTACATAATTAAAATTGTGGACAACCATTTACTTTTGCTTTTGGATAGCATAAAAATATATGGATTTCAAATTTGTAGTCCAAAAATAAATTGGAATTGGAGAATTTAATTTTACCTAAATCAATTCAAAAAAATTTTAATTTACAAATTACAATTCAATTTCAATCTCGTCTATTTTATATATCAAACGAACCCTAAAAATAAACATAATTTTAAATAAGATATGACTAAATTCACCTCGAAATCCACTCTTTCCATCAAAATTTGCTAAATCCTCTCTAGATGAAAACTAACAAACTTATTAAGGTGGGAGTGGATTTAGCAAATTTGGATTAAAGATTTAAAGGAGTGGATTTAATCATTTTAGGAGTGAATTTAGTCTCACCTCTTTTTTGAAAAGTATACGGAGTATAAATTATACGGAGTACTACATATAATATACTCTGTATTCACTAAGTTAATTAATTACTTCGACCTTTCGGTATTTGTGGTACTGAACCAATTTATGCACGTAAACAAATTTTTGTTTTTTGAATAAAAACACTAAAAGGCTAGCAGCAATATAATCATAGAGAATTTTTGTTAGAATATAAGAAGTATTTCCTGTGCCACAACAAAACTCTATTTAAGATACCAACAATGCTCCGTCTTAAAAATTATAGTTTCTAACCCTCCTAACCCCCGGTTTGACCTATCTCTAACGCACCCTTGCACCGGCTCTATTTATACCACACTTTTTATTTTTGTCAAAAACAATAGACAACACAACCAACAAAATAAAATTTGGTGCAATTGGAGAGGGTACGTCGGGCTAGGAGATTTACCATGGTAACCATCAATTTTACAAATGTAGTATTGTATGTACTCCAATTGCATTGTTGTACGAATTGTTGGGTAGAGCATTTTTGTAGTAGTAAGAATAAGGGGCTTTATATTTAAAAAAAACTCCTTATACTTACAGCGAGCATATCCACCAGTTTGAAAATCATGAATGGCAGCATAAGAGCTCTCGGTGCAAGTGCTAACGCTCTCCTCGGTGTCAAATTCTCTGAATATCTACACAAAGTTTTACACAGTTTTATTGTACTCCAAGGACAATATAGATTCGTATGAAATTATGATCATCTTTAGAATATAGATGGAACATCAATTACTCAGCCTCTAGTATGTTGTGAGCGAAAGGACCTCCAGTCCCATGAGCCATGGTAGCAGATTCAATTTCCATTACCTCCAGGTTAATGTCAACATGATAGATTTTCGGCTCCTACATGATACAAGAATATAAGATTATTGTCAAGTAGCATTTACAAAGAGTAGAGTTTACAAATCTTAAAAGCATCTTCATTCATAATAGAGAAAAAACGAAACATTAATGTAATCATAGAAATGAATTCAGGTGCATCTTGTACTCCCTAATTACAATCTCCTACCTCTTCCTCAGATTGCCACATGATTGGCCAAAAACTTTTAGTGGGCAAGTTTTAAAAATCCCTAAACACGAGTACAAATTCTCTTTAAGTACATATGGGTAAAAAAAGAACTTGTGAGATAAAGTGAGGTAAAAGAGGATATAAACCAATACATTACATAGAAAGATGAATCTATTTTAGTAATGTTTTGAAAACCAGATCGAACATCGAACTGGCAAGGCAAGTGGGTCTGGATAATTTAATCTAACTCTATACAAAGCTAGGATGAATTTTTGAATAGGATTTCCACCTAAATGTATGGGCTTTCTACTTTGGTTTTAGGCTTGGTGAATTGGGCCTGAATGATGGGTAGTGTTCTATTGTGGATTCGCGTGCATTGTAATCACCTTTTATAGATATTTGAGAAAAAAAGTAAAAGTTGCTGTGTGACTCCATGCAAACTTTATGTCAAATCAAATTGAATAAATAGATTCACAAAATCCAATGATTTAAGAGGAAAAAGTTGGTGCATAACTTCATGCAAACTTTATGTCAAAACAAATTAGTGTCTGTCTCCATCAAAACAATAGATTCACAAAATCCAATCATTTAAAAGAAAAAGAGTTAGTGTCTGTCTCCATGCATACTTTATGTCAATCAATTAAATAAATAGATTACAAAATCCAAGCATTCAATAGGAAGGTTGATTGTCCAATTATATGTACTACCGATACCTTCAAACAGCATTCTGTATTGTTGGATTATCTACTTTGTGTGCAGGGCACGAGGATTCATGCTCATCTCAATAAACCTTTAAAATGTTTTGAAACTAAAATCGATCGGTCATGAAGAAAGATATTTTGAATTCCGAAAACACCATCGGTCAGTCATGTCAGATTCGAGTTCGGTCACTTCAAGTTTAGGTTCTGTTCTGTCTAAGGCAATTCAAGTTGGTATCTATATGTTCATGAGCCAATATCATTAGGTTCAGGGGAACCCAACGGGTTATGACTTTAGTTTTTAAAATTTTTAAATTCATATTAACACTTCCATTTCACATTAAATAAATTTAAAATATCAAAAAATATGTATCAAATCTATTATATCAATTTATTTTAAATTATGAAGTAATTTTAGGTGCATTAATAATCACTATAAAATATTTAAAAGATGCATGATTTTCGAAAATAAGTAAGATAATTATGCAATATCATTAAAATTTTGTCTAAAAATTTATATTTATACATTAAAAATGAGTAATAAGACAAAATATATGATTATAATTAACCCTATTTTTATAACATTACATTTCCTAGTAAAGTATATAATTTTGAAAAATTTTTACATTAACAGTTCGGTCAAGTTGGATTAGGTCAGGTTTGATCCATTTTTAGCGAATCATTTTGGATTCGGTCAACTTCGAGTTTGGTCAATAAAACCTTTGTTCAAAATCTAATATTTTCGAGTCGGGGTTCGAATCAAAAACAGGTCAAGTCATTTTTTGCTACATCTACTAGTTTACATATATAAGAGTAAAAACACCAATTTTCCCTTAATAGGAGTACTCCTATTTACAGAACTACTCCTATTTACATTATCGCATAATGCTAGAAAATTACAAAAATGTCCTTATGAGCAAAAAAGAAAACCTCCAAATCGCTTTTTCGTCAAGGGATTTTCTCCCATAGATAATTTAGGGAATGTCCATAGAAATAGGAAAAAATTAATCATCCAATTACAAATCTAATTTGAAAGGTAAATTTCACGTTTAGAAAATGAACCCTCAGCTATTTTTGTTTGGTACCTAGACTTTATTTTCTTTCAAAAACACACTTGAACTTTGAAAATTTTTCACAAATGGTACATGGAGTCGATTTTCAGGTAATCATCCAATCATTTGGACCAAATTACAATTTTATATATTTTAAGATATTTAATTTGACCCCATCTCTTTTTTTCTTCTTCTCCCTCCACTCCCTTCCTTTTCTTCTTCTTTCACGCCTTTTTTTCTTCTTCTTCCTTCTTTCACCCTTCTTTTTTTCTACTTCCTTCTTCCACCCATTTTTTTCTTCTTCATTAAACCATCCACTCACAACAACCCACCACTCCCTTCTTGTTTAACCCCACCCCCCTTCTTGAGTCCCTCTTTTTTGTTTAATTTTAACTTCCTGATTAAGTATTTTTTTTTGTTTTCAATTTGTTGTTGAATAACTTTTTTAATTTTTTTTTAAAAAAAATTCTGATATATGTCATTTTAGTTTTTTTTAATTTCGGTCTTTTATATTTGTAAATTTTTTTGTTTTTTTCTATTTTTTCTCAATGTTTCAATATCATTTGTTGTTTGTTTACGTATTTTATACTAACTTTTTTGTTAGTTTTTCGATCTTTTTGTTAACAAATTTCTAATTTTTTGTTTGTTTTTTTGTTTTATTTTTTATTATATTTTTATGACTTATTTTTTTGTTTGTTTTCTATCTTTGTTGTAAACAGTTAAAAAAATAGTTAAATAAAATTAGCCCAGAACAAATAAAAAAAGTGAACTAGAAACAATAACCGTAATGTTAAAAAAATTACTAATTAATGTTTTGTTTTTGTTTTCTATCTTTTCTGTTAACAAACATCTTATTGTTAAAGAGAACTGCAAATGGTGTGCTATCGTGTAGATACAATATGTATTATGGATTGTACTTTGTAGTTTATATATTGTGGGCCCATTGGGCTTTAACTATAAACCCTAATCCCGTCTCATATATAGAGACGTTGGGCAATGAAAAAGTAAGAGAAGAGAGTCTCCCTTCAACACGTTATCAGCACGAGTTCTAACCCTAATCTCCCTTGGCCGCCCTTTCTCCACCGCCGCCGCACAGTTAGCCGCCCGGCCTTACCCCTCTCGCCGCACAGATCGGCACACACCTTTATTCATCTCCTCCGCCGCCGCACAGATCGCCGCTCAATTTCTACCGCTGTGAACTAAGAGTCATCCCACGGGAGTTCTATCTCGACTTCATCTGCTTGCCACGAATCCCGCTCCCAAGCCCTACCCTTTCATTCAACAGCCCGCAATGAGTATAAATTGAACTCTTACAATTCAGGTATTTCACTCATCCATCCGTCGGATATGCTTTGTTTCAAGATATTTACAACTTGTATATGTTTTTCAATGGTTTTACAATTTGCAAATTGGTATACTTGCTTATGAAATATCTCCTTTGATGCCTTCTGCTATGCATAAACTTCATTTCGATGATTTCATGTTCACAAAAAGTCATTGTTTATTATCACCCACTCACCATGTGTGATTTCAATATCAACATAATGCCATTTTTTCCCCTAATTTCTAAGACTAGTCAATACGGAGTGAATTTTATTTATTGACTGTCAATTGTGCGTGTGTTATTTAGTTGGCTTTGATTTTTTTAGTTGTGGTAAATGTTTTTATTTACTTCACTTGAAAAAAAATAAACATTTTTTTTCATTAATACAAAAAAAAATAATTACTTCCATTACCTTGATACTTGTATTATATACACATGGAATATATTATTTTAAACATGTGACGAACATGCATCTTTGTCACAAAATAATATCCATTGTTCAAAATTAATTTTTTTGTGAAAGTATCCATGCTGGGGTTATTTTGTTTTACCCAAATACTCCGTATATCATTTTGCACTTGGAAGTAATTGAGTTTCATTGTTTGAGTTGTTACTCATATGTCTCGTGGTCAACTTATTTAACTGTATATAAAAGAAAAATTAACCATTTTGTTCACATTAAGAGAATGATAATGAAAATTCATGCATTTAAAACAAATGTTTTTCACTAAATTGTGCGATGAAGAATTCTTGCATAAATTTTGAAATTTTTTTGATCTTGGAACGTAAGTAAGTTACGTAACCCACCCCCGATATTTATAAATATTCATTGCTCTATGATGGTGCATTTTATTTGTACTACTTGTTTTATTTGAGTTGGTTGAGCCAACCTGATTTATAAGTTTCACAATTTTGTACTCAAAAGCAATTGAGTTATACTATTGGATTCTTGAGTTGAAACAAATTTTGTGAAAAATAGAATACGTCACACTCATTTGTAATTTTTTTTTTAAAAAAAGAGAGAGATTTGTCTAGGATCTTCAAGTGAAGACACCAAACAAATTCAAATGTCTTTTTTTTTAAAGAGTTTGATTGTAAACTTATATTTTATTTTTTAAAAAAATTTATTTTTAGTGGGATGAAATCCACGTGCTTTCTGTGACATGTCGCACTTAAAAGCACAATTTTTTTTTCTCCTGTGAAAAGTAAATCACAAAAGCAAATATAATATAAAGAAAATACCAACCGTTCAAACTTCTCTTAATATGAACAATGCACTAATGGGTATTTTGTTTTTTTATTTAGCAATGTCTCATCCGACTCGACCTGATTTTGACATTTTAGACTCACAAGGATTTGAGTACCATCGATGGGTTTCACATATGAAAACTGCATTTGTAATTCAAGAATACGTTGCTACACGTAAAGACCCCAAAACTTTGAAAGATAATGAAATGACCGAAGAAGTGAATGCAAGGGCCCTAGCATATCTCAGGCGTCACATTTGCCCCAGCTTATATTGTGAATATGCGCAATTAGAATCCCCAAAAGAACTGTGGGATGCTCTTGAAAAACGTTTTGGGCACACTTACGATAGTACACTCCAAGGAATAATCAAAGAGTGGAATGAAATTCACTTCTCACATTACATAAGGGTAGCCGATTTTAATCGGGAGATGTTATCCTTAAAAGAAAGATTGAGTTCTCGTGGGTTAACACTCACAGAAGATGCTATGATTCAAAAGACTCTTTCCACCCTTCCAAAATCAGCCATCATACAAGCATGGAAATATTG